CTCTTTTTTGGTCGGGTGAACGTGCAGGCCAAGCAATCGGGCCACCTCGACTTGTTGGCCAACACGACTCCACTAGACTACTTCCTGTGAAGCTACATGAAGGGCTTGATTTACCAGACCTCTGTGGAATCCGAGGAAGAACTGCTGGCGCGGGTTATGGCTGCGGCGGATCTTGGACGTCCAGGTATTGGTGATCGTGTGTACCAGAACATGGTACGTAGGTACCGTGTTTGTGTAAGACGTCACTGGTCATCACATTGAGCCCTTCTTATAAGTGGACCCAGAAGAAGAACAACGTACAGTATGTTGCAGACGTGGGAGAGGTCAACATGTGATGTGGCGGTGTTTTGTTTGTCGCGGGGAAACGGTACGTTTCCGCACATAAGTTCCTGTGCAAAACATAACCGTCTTGGTCCCCACTACATTCCCTTACAATGTTAATGGAAATTTAGGCATCCTGAATTTCCTTATAAACGCGTACCGCTTAATGTCGGAAGTTAATCATGATTGGTGGTATACTCATTATTCCAACCAATCAACCTGTTAGGACCCACATGAATAGATCCCGCGATGACTTTGGTACCACAGATTTCTTGACATTAAAATTGTGGTAAGACTACTTGGTTTTCGTTCCGATGGCACATTTTTAATCTATCTGGTTTTTTTCTTTGGCTGTATTATTTTCTATACTTGCTAAGACAGAATTCTGCTAAAGAAAATGTGTAGGTTATTCAAGGTAAAATGAGCTCTTTTGAAAGCCCTGCTTGAGATATATTTGTATGCACATTGCGTATTCTTCCGCCTTATGCGAGAATCACATTGCCATGGGCATCATCACTTTATTTATGCGTCGGTGAAGTGAAACAGTGACATTATAAGAAAAGTAAATATGTTTCAAATCTGCTAATTTTAACATTTCGATACACTAAGAAAAAACAGAAAGCGAAAAAAATAATTTAAGTTAACAATTTATTTGACGTTAAGATATGGAATTACTTCCCTTCCATTGGTACCAACTTTACAGGGCGAATGTCACTCGGTGCGCCCGTTAAAATATATGCAGGCAGGGGCAGTGAATTTTTCTTGAGGCTGATTTTAAAAATGCTCACTTCATCATGAACAGCCTTTAGTCTGTTGTAACCCACGCTGTACAATCGGTAATTGCGAGAAAATTTAAATTTAGAGCTGAATGTCACGTACTCCAGTACGTGCTTTGTATGTGCTCAAAATCGCTCGAGACAACTTTTTTTTTATGGGATTGAATAAAGGCACGCGGCGGAAATGAGAAACGACTTTTTTTTTTTGTTCCCGAAAACTTTTTATTCTTTGGAAAATAAATTAAATCTATAATTTTTTCTCGTTGAGAACGACTAAAGACGAGGAAGAGCGATCTCGCTGGCTGCGCAATAAACCAGTCTCCATGTGCTAACACTGAACTGTTTTTCTGCCAACACGACTAGCATAATAGGCGTGTATTGGATTCGAACCTAGAATACCGTTTGGTAAACAAGTGCTTTGAGGTGGTTTTATACTTCCTCTAACGAATTTGTTATACAGTTTGATTAAATTAAAATTGTTATGTTATTAACATAATAGTGTTCGCAATTAAAAATTAAGGAATAAACAAATAGATTCGTTACTGTTGACCATGTGACTTTGACAGCTGTGTTCTTTTGGCGCGTAGGTCAATGTTGGGTACGTGCATATGAGAAGAAGAATCGGTCTACCTCATCTTTAGTCTATGGTTTAGAACTGGATCTTTTGAAGAAGCCACGTGAAGTTTCGATGAAGATTTTTGCTTTATTTGACGGTCTCCTGTCCGTGCATGGGGTGTACAAAACTGATAAGTAAAGCATAATGAATGAGACCTTTTATAACTGTTTGGAGCAATAATTTGCTTTAATGCAGATTTCACTATATAACATCTGCAGAAAGAGTTGCACGCAGATCAGACTCCAACAGTCCGCCTCCACCAGCACGCTTGTAGTTCTCCTTTGGTTACTGGCCGTAGTGTGGAATTCGTGAAGGCGAATCAGACTTAAAGTTAATCCGGAACTGGACACATAGGATTCGCGGCCAGGCACGTAGCAATTAAAACAACCAAACGGCGAAAAGTTCGCTTGAACTGAAGCGTTTTTAACACTCTGTGAATCAGCGATTTCAATCAGTACAATTATTCCACTGAACCGTCAGTTAATCATCTGTTGTCTACTGACGAATCAGTGGACTACAATCACCGTTATACTACCAGGCCAGCGGCGCAATTCACCAGTAACTAAAATTGTGGGTAGAATTCAAGAGGAGCAGTTTCAACACATCTGCTGTCAAATTCACTGATTTCGAGAAGTTTTATCTGTTATCGTAAAAATTCGTGTATCCCTGTAAACAGTTTGAATAAAACTTTCGCTTCTTGTTATTTCGACAAGAAATGAATACATGTTTTCTCAATCAAATATCGGAAAATGTTTTCGCTGGAACGTAAACATAAATAACGACGGCTTGTTACATCCCGAAGTGAGTCTTTAATGTGAGTAACACATCGTGGGAGAGTAGATTGAGTAAATTTCCTCAGATTAACGGATTTCACCACGGAGATTTTTTTAATAGATAGCTCGAAGTAAACAGCCTAAATAAAGAGTTTGTATAACTTACACTTAGTTTAAGCACTCTTCGTAGTAAATAGTATTATATAGTTTTACCAGCAGTATCCACGAAAACGATCCTGGTTCGACTACCGGCGGAGTCGCGCAGATTTTCCCAAGTAGGACATAATGTCGGACACCGTTCGCCAGCGGGTTTCCTTGAGACACTCTCCGTTTCCTCCATCCTATTCCGCCAGTATTCATCACCACTTCATTTCACACTTGCAGGCGCTCGTGACGTCACTGCTACGCGCGGGCCGAAACTTCGCAGATTATACGCACAGTACGCTACTTACAGTATTCGCAGTCAAAATCCGATTATAGTCTATTCGAGGTACCTTCGCGTTTTTGACGTGAATCCAGAATATCCGATGATAACAAAATCGGGGAATAGAGTTTGGCATTGCAGCGCCGAATCTATCGTCTACATTCAAAATTCAATTACACCGCTCGATAGCCAAAGGATCAAAGAATATGTTACGTTGAGTGATGACTGCGAATCATCGCCTGGTTGGTGGGGGGGGGGGCGCAATTTTGAGTTCGTTTCGCCGCGTCTCGTAATTTCCGCGTAGTATGGCGCTCGTTTAAGTTTCGTTCGACAGCTCTCGTCAAGGTCAATCGGTTGCGTGTAAAAAAAAAACATTTGTCAGGCGTGGTTATGGTGAAATTGTATGAGTTTAATGTAAAAAAATTAAGACAACTTAACACAATGTCGGCCTATACTCGTCAGAAAGTCAAGTCGAAATACAGAAATCGTATACGGTTTGGAAGAGCATCTCAAAAGCAATCCAGTGGTATCCATAAAACCATACATGATCGAGCGAAACGGTGCCGGGAACGTAAAATAAAACATCAAGGCGTCCGAGCACGTCAACGTAGACGTATTCACGTAAAACAAACGGCCGTGTCCCCAACACAGCCAAACCCAATTTTTGAAGCGAACCTTTGAAATATCACCCTGTGTATGCCATATTTTGTTGTTTCCTAAATATGTATGTCATGTGTCGCAAGCGTTTTATACTTCTGTTTATGTGAAACTGTCATATTTTTGGTTAAATTGAACTGTTACTTATATTTCACCTATAAATTATAATATTTCATTAATAATATTAAAATGAATATAAACAGAAAGCACGTATGTTGGTAATGCCTAATATAGACTGTTCAAGGTAAAGTGAACACTTTGTAAAGCCCTCCCAACTGGCTTTAACCATTAATAAATTATTATATTGCAGCATCGGGCAATTTATTTTCAGAGTGGTGAAATGTATACACAGTGTTTATTTGTCACAAAGCAATGTTTATATTAAAAAAACAGCAGGATGATGGAAATAGGATGAAAGGATAAGATTTAGAAGGGTCTTAAAAAGTGCTCACTTTACCGCGAACAGCCTATAACAAATAGTTCTCATGCAAAGTATTACTAGAGTGAGTGCGCATGGATGCGGTGCGTTGTCCCTTTGGTGTTGATTTATAGATTTGGTTAAGATTTGTTTGCATGAGGCGAAGAAATAAACCTGAGAGTTGAACTTTAGCAGGACGTCAGAAAAGTTGGAAGTAACCGTTGAGTAGACTATACATATATAATTTCCTTTGAAGGAAGAAATCAGATATGGCACAAAAAAAAACAATATATCTCGACCATTTATTTATACATGTCAAGTATTTATTAGTTAACGGCTCCACAGCAACCCAGGTTAAAGTGCGCATTGTAAAAGGAGGAGAGCTATAGGATGTTCACGGTAAAATGAGCACTTTTGAAATCCCTGCTTAAGATCTACTTTCATGCACGTTGTATATTCCTTCGTCTTATGTAAAATTAACATTGCCACGGGCCTCAACACTTTATTCGTGCGTCGGTCAAGTGAAACTGTGGAATTATTAGAAGCGTTAATATTTTTCAAATTTTCTCATTTTTGCACTTCGATGTATTAAAAAAAAAAAAAACTTAAAGCGAAAGAATTAATATAAATTATCACACATGGTTACCTAACATTTTTTTGGACGTTGAGATATGGAGCTCCTTTCCCTCCATCCTCACCAACTTTACTGGGCGCATGTCACTCAGTGCGCCCGTTACAATATATGCGGGTAGAGGAGGTCACATTATTCTAAGGTTGATTTCAAAAGTGCTCTATTTATCGTGAACAACATATAAAAGAGGATAAAATATACATAATAGTCTGATTTCGGTCGCGTGCAATGGGGCGTGGCACGCTAATGTCAGATTGATGTACAGATTTGTAGGGGCCTATCGCGTAGTCTCTATTAACTTCAAAGAAGAGGAAGATTCAGCTTGTCGGCATTTCGTTTTTTACAGTACATTTGACATGTGTATTTGTAGAAATGCATCTCTAGTCCGGTATGGTCTACTGGCTAGGATCCCTAGCTTTCACCCAGGAAGCTCGGGTTTGATTCCCGGTACCGGAATTTCATTTTTATTTCTTGAATACTGTTATACACTATCTAACAAAAAGTAATTGGGCACCCGTGAAGATAGGTAATTCAGTACGTCAGTTGACATGTGTTTCACGACCTTCGGCGTAGGACCGCTGGTGTCTGTCCGTGGTAACATGCACACAGAGGCCTATTGTAACATTCTGTATAATGAAATGCTCCCAACATTGTGGCGTTTTTACAGAATGGACCCGTGTTACTTCCAGGATGGCAATGCCAGGTGCCATGTTTCAAGGGCTGCTATGCACTGGTACACCAACAACTATGTTCGCCGATTGGACTGGCCCGCCCAGAGCCCCGACCTCAACCCTACAGAACATCTTTGGGGCGAATTGGATCGCCGGGCGAGGACTCGTTAGGAGCGGCCAAAATCCATTGCTCAACTGATGGAATGGTTGCAAGAGGAATGGCGACAAATCCCCGTGGATGTCCTGCAAACACTCGTAGAGCTCATGCCAGACAGGGTGGCTCCTGTTATAGCCGCAAGATGTGGTCCTACGAGATTCTAACGGGGTGACAACCACCGAACAAACATTGTGGACAGGTGCCCAATTACTTTTAGGTAGATAGTTTATATACAGAGAAGATCTTGTCCCAGTAAACAATTTTTTAATCATTGGAATGTGATGTAATTATGCCTGCTTTGCAACGATAGCTTGTCCTTTCTCCAGGGAAGTTTTTTTGTGCTTAAAATGTTTGAAAAAATAAATGCCCTAAAGTATTGTTTTGCATTAATTACTTTCTTGCTTGCTTTAGAGTTTAGAGTTGGTGTAACGTTTCTGTTTTATTCATTTAAACTCTTTCAGACAGTAATTCAGTCACGAGCTCAAGTAGAAGTCAATTGATTAATTTTTTAATATTATTGTATTATATATTATTATTACATAAATTCGTTGAATTTTATGACGTGTGGTTTGCTTGTGTCGAACGTGCTTCTCGCAATTATTCAACAAGGTACTCCATGTTCGTTGACGTCAGCAATAATCATTCATTAACCAGAGATGAAGAAACTTCAACAAAACGTATTTCTCACAAGCAAGACGCTTAATCATTGGACGCTGATTCCTTGTTGTGTGCGGTGCAAACATGTCCTTGGGGCCGCGGTGCTGTAGTGGTTAGACTATTCGCCTTCCACCTAGGCGAACCGGGCTCGTTTCCCGCGCGGGGTCGCTCCCCGGATTTTCGCAAGTGGGAATCGCGTAGGACGATGCCGCTGGCCCGCGGGTTTTCTCGGGGTTCTCCTGTTTCCCAAGCCCCCTCGTTCCGGAGCTGCTCCATCCTCGCGAACATGGGAAACTGAAAGGATTAAACTATAGTTCTCTAAAATTGCATATATTTTCGTATTCCAGGGGAACCTTAACCTTTATTTGTTTTATAAATATAGGATGTCCACGGTCAAATGAGCACTTTCGAAAGCCCTGCTTAAGATCTACTTGTATGTACGTTGTGTAGTCTTCCGCTCTACGTAAAATTAACTTTGCCATGGGCCTCATCACTTTGCGCCGGTCGAGTGAAACTGCGAAATTATTAGAAAAGGAAATATTTTACAAATCTGCTCATTCTTACACTTCGATGCGTAACAAACACAGAAAGCGAGATAAATAATATGAAATGTCACAAATGGTTACCTAACACTGTTTATTCGACGTTAAAATATGGAACTACTTTCCATCCAACGTTACCAACTTTACTTGGTGCATGTAACTCAGTGCGCCGTTAACATATATGCAGGTAGGAACAGGGACTTTTTCTAAGGCTAATTTCAAAAGTGCTCACTTTATCACGAACAACCTTTAGGGGCGGGTGTTTTTCGCAGAAATATTTATGGACATGCTATATTTCAATATCCTATTACCACAAACACCACTTCCTTTGGTTATTGGCCGCGTGTCTACTGGAGAAGATATGTTCTTATTTGATTGGAGATAAGTATTTGAATATTTACTTTTTTCTTTTAATAGGTGTAAATGTAGAAGAAAGGTAGAAAATTTTTAAGTACTAAGCTTTGGCCAGAATGTTTTAAATAGAAGTTTTGTGAAAAAAAGGATAAATAACTTAAAGCATGGCGATGATACTTTGAAAATATTTCAAAAAAATGTAATGCGGTGAGATCGCAGAAATAATGATAAATATTTTTTGTATCAATTTTGTTAGTTTTTCAGCTAAATATATTTATCTATATATTTAATTATCGCTTTTCGCAAACGATTATGAAATATTGCTTTAAACATTTTGGTATAAAAATAATTATATAAAATATTCAAACAAACTATTTCAAGTTTAGAAGTAATACGTTTTTTTTTCTTTCCCCCATAAAATGTTTCCGGTTGCAACCACGCAAATAATAAAGTTTGAAAGGTTTGAGAAAACATATCAGGGCACTTTGTGGGACAACATAATGCAGACAAATTTAAAATGATTACCTTTCTGCCTTATGCTGATGGGGTTTCTTCGGGGCTGTTTCCAAAGTCTCCAGCCCACAGGAGCTAGAGTGCGTCGTATCAATAGAATGACGGTATTTATATGCATATTTTTTTCTTTACAGTAGCGGCCTGTCTGTGTGTGAATGTGTGGACGCATGCATGTTACATGCGAATGTAGTTTTAAATTAGTTGCCAGCGCTCACGGCAACACACACACACACACACACACATATATATATATAACATAAACAAAAAGTGTGTGTGTGTGTGCGCGCGCGCGCGGAGCCTTCTGTTTTTTGCTATGTATACGCGTCATTGAACATCCTCTTTTTTTCGCGATGACAAATTTACTGTCTTGGGGGGGGGGGGGTGGATAGGCCGATGTGGGTATTTACTTTATTTCTTCTCCTAACCATGCAATGGGAGAATTTTATATATAAAGTAGGGACTTGTCCAAATTTATTTCCGAATGTCAGGACGGTATTTACTATATTCGTATTCGATATTAAACATCCTCCTTTCCTAGATGTCGCAGTACTCTTGTGGTCAAGGCGCTCGACTGCCAACCCAAGGGGTGCGAGAATGATCCACACACCTCCGGAAGACACACAGCAGCTAAATGATTTCCAGCACTCCTAGCGACCACAGGTTGAACTAAATTCCCTCGATTCTAACTTGTTCCAGCAGGCGACGAGTGGACCAACACACAATATTGCCGCATCGATACCAGCGCTCCTAGCTGCGAATGGTATCACTTACCACACTCTGGTTGTGGGCGCGAAAATTAAAGATGGAGGATGTAAACAGCAAGATAGAGGGGAAAGGGGTAGAAGACAAAAGAGAGAATACAGAAGACCAGAAGAAATATGAGAAAACCAAGGGATAGAGCAGACGAGAGAGAGCGGGCGTGGTATAGACAGGAAGGAATGAGAGAACATGATAAAAAATCGGAATGCCAAAGAAATATGTAAAAGAATCGGAATTCAAGAGCATGACGAGACAAGGTGAAGTGATAGAGTAGTGGGTTGGGAATAGTGAAAAAAGAGAAATTCCTAGGGATAAAAAGGAGATTCTGAGGGAAAAAACAAGTTGAACGCTGCTGACGAGGAATGACAGGGCGCAAGGTTTCAGCGAAACGTCATCCGAGATGACCGCTTTGGCACCAGGCGTCAGCGCCGCCTGACGCCTGGTGCGCCAGTTCTCCCTATTCCATTCTACTTCCGTGTCGTCATCGTCGTACCGTGTCAGTTTCCCACTGACTGTCACTCTTCATTGTAGTATGTATTGGTTTATGTCAGCTTACTAGTACTGAGAGTGGGATGGGCCCCCGTGGGAATCCCTCGTCCAACGTCAAGAAGCAAGGAAGCGATACGGGCGATACTAACACGCACGCCTAGTGACTCATCGCTCCAACGCTCCGACGTTGTACTGTGCAAATATCGCTTTAAAAATGCGATATTTGACCATTATGACGCATTTTTCTCCAAAAAATACACTTAATATAACAAAAGTAAAAAAAAAAAGGGGGCATAGATAATTGTTTTTTATATATTTCCTGACAAAAAGTTGGCTTTGCAGACCATTTATTTACCGAGATACGCGCATTCGTGCAAACACAACTATTTCACAAGAAATGTGGGGGCCCATCCCACTCTTAACAAAAAAAATTGCTGGATCGCAAGGTCTTCATAAATTTTTGTGACGTATTTACGTTTATCCTGCTATAATATATATTTTTTACAATAATTAGGGTTAAAACGATATAATCTGCATAATAAATGGACTTGCTGGCGAACATTTTTATTACTTAATATTTCATTGTTGCTAAAAAAAAAATTTAAGTACGCCGTGCAAAGTTAAAAATCTCAACAATATATTGGCAAACTCAAAAACATTTCTGAAGTACTTATGATTTACATTTTCTTCAATGACAAGTAAATTATTAAATATTAAAGCAGTTGTGTAATCTATTTTGTAAGTAACCTCTTGGAAACACGTGTATGGACAGTTTACGGTAAAATGAGCTCTTTTGAAAGCCCTGCTTATGTTATACTTGTATGCACGTTGTGTATTCCTCCGCCTTATGTAAAATCAACATTGTCATGGGCCTTATCCCTTTAATCGTGCGTTGGTCAAGTGAAACTGTGAATTTATTATTAAAGTCAATATTTTGCAAATCTGCTTATTTTTACATATCAATGAATTAAAAAACAGAAAAGCGAAAGAAATAATTTAATTCTTACAAATAGTGACCGAACACTTTTTATTCTACGTTGAGATATGGAACTATTTTCCATCCATTATTACCAACTTTACTGAGAGAATGTCACTCAGTGCGCCCATTAAAATATATGCAGGTAGTGGGAGTGAATTTTTTTTTCTTAGGTTCATTTAAAAAGTGCTCACTTTATCGTGAACAGCCTTTAAACAAAAATCTTATATTTTTCAGTGTAGTGTTTTTCGTTAATTCCCAGTGTTTCGATGGCTTTTGTTCGCTAAACATCGCACTCTATTAATGTGGAAACTGAGACATGTGTTGCGTAGCGGCCG